CTCTCTCTCTCTCTCTCTCTCTCTCTCTCTCTCTCTCTCTCTCTCTCTCACACACACACACACACACACACACTGACTTGGGTGACGTCTACCTTCCATCTCACGGTCAAGTTTAGATCTGGGCCTTCTCCAGTCTTTTGTTTCCTTTGAAAGAAAAATGGCCCCTTTTTGGCTTTCTCCCTCTGAAGCTTCAGATGGTGAAGACCAGCCCTGCAGGGAGCCCAAAACACAGGCAGCCCCAGGGCCATTTGCTCTCCCCAGGCCTTAACTGTAATGATAATGCCTCTTGCTTTACACCTGCTCTATTGTTTTAATGCTGTTCTCCCAGTAAGATTCACTGTCATCCCACCTCCCCATTGTACAGCTTTTTGCCTACCAAACATCTCCCAAGGAATGAAACACATCCTGCCTCCCTCCCACCCCACTTCTCTTTCGCCCCCCACCTCAAGGCCTGACCGTCCTGACACGGCAAACAAGACGCTTGTTGACTCACTGGGTGCGGGTTTATGCAAGTTGCTTCCATCAATGATGAAAATAGGAAGCTTTTCCAAATGTGCTGAGATGAAGTAATTACAGCTTTTCACCCCACCAGTGCCCCCCCCCCCGAAAATCTTTATTGGCAACTGCATTTCTTGAGAACCAGATCAGCAGATGATTAAGCTTGCAATTTTGTTTTTCTTCCTATCGAAACCTCAGCACAGTGGGAGGGCAACTTATCAAGGATTTGGACAATATTTTGGCTGATATATAGTGGGAGAAAGACACAAGATTGTCCCCTTGGTACAGCTCAGGTCCCCCTCGACAGGGCTTTCTCCTCCTTTCCTTAGAGTCCATGCAGGGCAGGGCTGCTTTGCTCCCCACTGCTGCAGAAAAGTTCTGCCACCGCCAGGAACTTGCACGTGTCAAGAACTGAACAGCTTACTCTAAGTTTGGGGACAAGAAAGTTTTTCATGACTTATGTGTTGCCCCCAAGTAATCAGTCTGTGCGATCAGTTTATGCATTTTCATGCAAGACAGCTGCCTCTCCTGTGATTCATTCGTAAGACTTTCTGATCCTGTTCACAAAAGAATACGAAGAAAGTTCCTTTCATACTAGTGTAGCTCCCCCAGAAAAAAAAACTGTTTATTTGCAGTGGTACGTACTTCCTTTTTCTTTCCTAAAGCAGTGTATATCCAAAAATAAGAGCGCATAAAAGAAATAAAAGATAATTGAAAAGCTAGGAATTTTGAAAGTCCAGATTGAAAAAAGTGAAGTGTGAAATGACTGTTGGGTCTTTGTGATTGAAAATATAGATTTTGAAAAGTGGGGACTGTTGAATGGAAGAACCCTGGAGTGATGCTGGCGTCGTCTTTAACATTTGAGGGAAGTGGGTGTGTTTGCAACAGAGCCTCTAATACTGGGATTTCTTTGCTAATTTGCTCACATACTTTGGTCACACCTGGTCCTGTTTATTTGTTTTATTAGTTAATGCAGTGGAGCAGATCTTGTTTCAGTTCCTGCAAGACTCTGCATATGTGAAGTCACTGAGAAAGAGAAAGACCGTCAGCAATATGCCATGCCTGGGCTTCGGCCTCTGTAGAGGCTGAACCACCAAAGCTAACTCATGAAACACAACTGAGTCTGGGTCTGGGTCCAGCAAGGAGGTCTCTCATTGGTTCTCTGGCCTGCACTAGGTTGTATCTCTCTTGGCAGTGAATGAAGAAGCAGACGCACCATCAGCAGATTTTCCAGAGTACAAATATCTCAAGCAATGGAGGTGCAAAGTCCAAAGGTAGTCCAGTTAGGCTGTGCAAACCTGGCTGACAGTTGGCTAGCTATGAACAAGAGTCAAGAGGGCCAAGGTTAATTGCCCAAAGATTTGGTGGGGCAGGGAGAGGAGGAGATGGATCTATAAATAACCCTATCAATAAGTAATGTGTGGCTGTGGCCATTCCAGGTGCAAGTTGGCATCTAGTAGCCACTGCTGCAATATGGGCAGGTGAGTCTTTGTTTGATGGGAAGACTGGAGAAAAACAGAGGTGGCTGTGAGAGAAGGACTGGTGCAGAAAAGGTGTTTCACCTCCACTTTTACAATGTCAGTTCCATCGTGACTTCTTTTACCATTTGCTTTGCCTTGGGTAGAGCCTCATGGTTAGAGCTGGGCTAAGAAGCCACTTTCCAGACAAAGGTTGCGTTTCTGTAGGAGGCTGCAGATCAGCTGTCAACAGGGACCAGGCTTGTGGGGAGAAGTCACCATCTCCTTCTCCCTCTCTTTCTGCCCTCCTGTGCTTTTCCTTTGCTCTCTCAGCTCTTGCTGGTAGTCTCCTAGGCATAGCAGCTGAGAGGTTGCCCCAAGAGGTGAGGGTCTGGCTTCCCCTTCCTCAGACTTGGAGCCTCCCAAGCTGCATATTGATCCCCATTTTGTTCTGAACAGTTCCCTTTTCACACAAATAAACTAGCAGGTATCCAAAACTCTCCTTTTTCCTATCTACATAAACACATATCCCACATAGTATCATTTTTTATGCCCTGGGAGTAGGAAATCCATAGAGTCTAGGAATCAGAAAAGAACCTGACTTTTTACTTTCAGTTCCAAAAGCAATTTCTAGCCTAATATCTGCAAAAACTGACCAGAAAGCACCCAGGTCGTGTCTGCAGAAATCTCTACCACCAAAGGGAACCGGTTAGCAAGCAGTGGGCCTCCTTTCCTCCCTCCCTCCTCCTCGGTGCCACCTCTGCCTCATGTATCCAGACCCCCAGAGATCTGACTGATGGATGAATTCATTACATTTATATGGCTATCCACATGCCTCTGGGTGGCTAACAATTAAAAACAGAATAAAAACAGTATAACAGAATTATAAATAACATAAATAGTAGCCCAGATAACCCACAGTTGCACTCATAATCATCACAGCTGACACAACCAAGGAACAGGCTCGGCGACAAAAACCAGGTCTTCAAGGCCTTGGCAAAGGCCTGCAGGGTCAGGGCACATTTGATCTGCAATTCCAGAAGGTGGGCACCACAGCAAAAGAGGCTCAGTTCTTGGGTCCTGCCAGATGGCACTCCCTCATGGACAGGACCCAGAGCATGCCTCTTCTGCCAGATATAGTGGGACAGGGAGAGATGTACGTGCTTTG